TATTGCTGCTGTTGCTGCTACTACTACTACTACTCCTACTACTACTACTACGACTTATGCCTACCACTAGTACTACTACTATTAGTTTCTACTGTCTACTTTACTACTGCTGCTGCTGCTACTACTACTACTACTACTACAACTACTGCTACTGCTGCTGCTACTGCTAGTGCCACTGCTACTGCTACTGCTACTGCTACTGCTGCTACTACTACTACAACTACTACTACCACTCCTGCTGCTACTGATGCTACTACTGCTATTACGTTTACTATGACTACTACCTACTATTACTACTACTACTGCTACTACTACTACTACCACCACCACGACTACTACTACTACTACTACTACTACTACTACTGATACTACTACTACTGATACTACTGATACTACTACTACTACTACTACTACTACTACTACTACTACTTCTGCTACTGCTATCGCTACTGGTATTACCACTACTACTACTGCTATTGTTGCTGTTGCTGCTACTACTACTACTACTACTACTACTACTACTAGTACTACCATTAGTTACTGCTGTCTACTTTATTATTGCTCCTCCTGCTGCTGCTGTTACTACTACTACTACTACTACTTCTACTACTACTTCTACTACTTCTACTACTATTGCTAGTAGTAGTACTACTACTACTACTACTACTACTACTACTACTACTTCTACTTCTACTTCTACTACTACTACTACTACTACTACTACCACTAGCGCTATACGACTACTACGACGACTACTACTACTACTACTACTACTACCACTACTACCACTGCTGCCACTGCCACTGCTACTGCTACCTTGACTACTACGATGACGACAACTGCTACCACCTCAGTACCACTAGAATGCATGGTTTTGCGTGAAAACTCGGGTTTCATGTAACGCAAGCACTCTGATTTGCACTTTGCCCGGCGCAACACTAGTACTACTACCACCAAACATTTCAGGCTTAGGGGTCTCCACATCCCCCGGAAGTCGCGCAGAAGACCCGCGGAAGCTCAATGTCCAAATCCTTGCCCCATCACTGCCTCAGCCTTTGCCTTTCCGTGCAATCTGAGTTATTGCGAAACATAGGCCTAAGCCTTACCTGAAACCCCTAAACCTTGTATACTCTAGACAATATGGGTCTTGCATATAATAAGCCTTGCGCCTTGCAAGATCTAGCAGACACTGGCGAGCTCAATTGTATCGACAATAAATACCAGAAGCCAGCTGTGCAGAGACCCCATGTATGTATGTATGCATGCATGGATGTGTGTTTGTATGTATGTGTAGAATTTCTTTCTCTCTGCATTTACAGGTATTCATTTCTGTGTTTGTTTCTGTGCTGTGTGTTCATTTCTGTGTTTGCTTGTGTTACGGAGTTTTAGGGTAAGGGATCAGCCCTTGGGGAAAGTTTGGGTTGCAGTGAAGAGGATTAGATCTTCAAGACTCGATGCAGTCGAGATGCAAGTGTCTATTTTAAGCCAGCTGGCCATTTCGACTCTTTCATTGGTTCGAAGTTTTCGATGGCATCTTGAAATAGCAGAGCATCGTTGTGCTGTTCCGGGTTGCGCAAGGACTTCCTGCAGAGACTTCCGACTGCCCGCTGCGAGGTCGCTCCAGAACTTCTGGAGGCGGCGGCCGGTTTCGACGAGACCGAATCGTTGGCTTGACTACATGTGGCACACGCATTTGGCTGTGTATAGATGATTTCGAGCTGTTTAGATTTAGTCAAGTTGCTTTCCCAGGGTGCTGCACGAAGTGGCTGCACCGACCTGGCAACAGCTGTTGTAGAAAGCACATGTTGTCAAAGAGGCAGGACTGTTTCTTCAGATGTTCGGCGGCTCCGTCCTAGTCCGGAAGCTTTCGCACTGTCGAGCCGCACGGAGGTTCTGAGTTCGGGGAGTTGTGGTAAGCCGGCTTTACGACAGTGCCTGGGCTTGCGAGCAGGAAGGGGCCTTTTCATTTGTGTCACCCGGCACTTCATAATGGAGAACCCCATGACCTCTTGACAGTCGGCTCGTAGGGTGGTGCAGATCGAAGTATTTGGAGTGTCGAAGACCAGTAACTGTTGATCTCGGGGTCGGCTGAGAACCTTTCGAATGTGTCGCATGGGGCGCTCGCAGCCGCTCCACCGCTGCCGAGGCTGTGCGTGGCTTTGTCCAGAAGCTTCGTAGCCATGTGTCAGAGCCTCAGCCTCACAGCCACTGCCAGTAATCCTGGGAATTTACATGAAGGCAGCTTCCGCGGCCTACGAAGTTGGGCTCTACTGAAAACATCAACTTTGCCCAGATCTTCTGTTCCCGATTCAGGCGACACTTGGCCTAACGCTCTTCCAGCTGCCATGACCCAGCTGGGTGACAAGGGCGCCCTTCGGCTAATCACTGCAGGCACCCCTTGCAAAATAATTGCCACAAGCTGGGCTGCACCAGCATAGTTGAGAGAAAGGTGCCTGTTGTATCTGCCACTAGTCAGAAAAGGTCCTATGTACCGTCTCCTCACAGCTATACTGTGAAAGAGCGCCATTTTGCATAGTTTGTCGGCAAAGGCCTTCCACACAATCCAACACTCCAGCTCAGGACTTGCTTCCCTTGCTGGAGTTCCTGCAGGCGCAAGAGAGGTTGTATAACAGGGGGGGGTATCTTGTAGATTAGTCTAGGATGCCCCTGTGTGGTTTGGCCTGTAGAACGATAAGAATTAACAACATATTATGTTTGATGCATGTTGACCGAACTATGGCTAGTCCGATTACGACTACTACTACGTGGTTTTTACTGCGACTAGTACTATAGTGGCAATACTAGTATTCCTGTTATTACTACTCCTACTGCTACAGCTACTGCTAC